AAGGGACATATCAGACCCGAAAGCTGAGGGAGATGAACATAGCTGTATTGACTTCACTGAAAAAAGGTCAAACTTAGATCATCATAAAGAATGAAGCACCTCATCATTATTACTAAATTGAAGCTGATCTTTGTGGATGAAACAGACTGTGTCTCCTGTGATGTCCTTTAATTCTATAGCTTCTCTTCCCCAGCTCTTAGAACAGCTCAGTTCACCCTGGAAACACAGGATAAATATAAATTTATTGGGGCATGGAGAGGGGAAAGTCCTCTAAGCTTCTCTAACGTAGATTGTGTGACGACCATTTGCTCCCTCCCTGGTTTCATTCCAAAGACTCTTGATAGAACAAATAAATTTTGCCTAAAATAACAGTTGCTTAGAGACTAGACATGCTTAGGGTGTCAGGGTGCTAAAGTACACTGGACAAAAGCAGCAAGACCCTGTTTAGAACCTGCTCACTGACAGGAACCTACAATAAAGAGAATAGGGTTCAAGACTCATGTTGGGACAGTTGTCAACCCAGTAACTTCAGAGTCAGAAGGGCTCTCAGTTTTTGCCCTAGAACTGCTCATCTTTCCCAAAATGTTGTTTCCATTAGACTACTCTCATCCTCAAGGGCTCCCTAAGGCACAGTGATAAAGTCCAGCCCCTGCACAGTCCCACCTTGAGAGCTGGACCACCTGCTACTCCGAGAGAACCTGTCCGCTCCGGCTACCAGGCTCCTTTCTCTCCCTGGAATGCTGTCATTTTCATTCCCATAAACTCATAAACTTCTTCTTTCTTCCTCTCCTACAGCATGCATGGCCCTACTCCTCCCTAGTTGTCTCAGGTTACACAGCCTTCAAAATCCACTTGCACTTGCCCCCCTTCGAGAATCACCCATTATTCCGCTGTCTAGAGCTCACTTCTTCCTTGGCTCCTCTGGAATTCTGGTGTCTGTCCACTGACTCAGGGGTGGACCAGATGTAGCCTTTTTTTTTTTTTTTTTAAAGATCTTATTTATTTTTCGGGGTGGAGCACAAGCAGGAGGAGTGGCAGGCAGAGGGAGAAGCAGGCTCCCCACTGAGCAGGGAGCCTAACACGGATCTCTATCCCAGGACCTGGGATCATGACCTGAGCGGAAGGCAGATGCTTAACCCACTGAGCCAGCCAGGTATTGTCCCTCAGGTATAGCCTTTGATGTGTCTTTATATTAATATTCTAACCCAGGGTGATGTATCTTACCTCCTTAATCAAGTTGAAAGCTCTTTCAGAGGAAGGACCTAGTATGGTCCTACACATGTATCCCAGGCCTCCAGTAAATATTTCAGAATAAATAAATATTGGAGTATCTGCTTTTGTCTCCCTACCTCTGAAGAATGTGGAAGCTGGTGACCAAGAGAGTATCACCTGACTCATGAGAGGCAAATGCCTACAAAGTTGACTGAGCTGATTTGTATGAATAATATCCTTCATGTCATATGTGTTATATGTCATATATGTTACACATATATATGGTATAACTTCCATGATAAAGGTGAAAATGATTCAAATGGGAAGAATCTGTTTCGCCCTCAGATTCAAAAACAAATTTAAAACCTTCAGGATGCAGTCAATTTTTTTCAATCACCTAATAAAAGGAAAATGATAATTTTTTGAAAAAGGATCTTAGTACCCAAAATAAGTCACAGAGAATTAAACGTTGTAGTAACCTAAAATTTGGGGGAGCTACATTCACAAGGGGAGAAAGCATGCCCTGTGGCATGACCCCACCTAAGCCCCATGCGGGCCTTTTATCTACTTCTGGAATCACCCCTGTCCACTCTGGTCATGGTCTTTAACAGCCTCAGGCGGGGCCATTATCGTGGTATTGGTGCTTATTTCTGAAAGCAGGTTTCCTTCCTGCACGTTGTTCATCTGCCAATCTCAGGGTTTCTTATACGTGAAGAAACGAGGAAACAGCGTAGCGGTGTGCTTGGCTGCAGTTTTGTTTTGTTTTGTTTTTGCATCTTCACTCCAGGCGCCCTTGTCGGTGGAGAAATGCAGCCTAGTCAGAGCCTGGCACGATGAGTGAGCACAGGTGTGTGGGGCCTGCCCGTGTGCGTGGGACAGGAATCCAGGAGAGGAAGAAGATAGTGGGTAACAGTGGCACTGGCTGATCCAGATGTGAGGCAGGAAGCGAAACTTCCTCTTCCCATTAGCGCCTGGATCCCCTTCTCTGGGGTACTGAATCTTCACACTCACACTCTTGAGCCGGCTGCTGGATGTCCCTTCACCCAGGACTCTGCAGCAGGACAGGGGCCTTCAGGGCAGCAAGAGTGGTCCATAAACAGAAGGCCCTAACTCTGCCACTCTCTCTGCCTCTCTCCCACCTTTCATGGAAAAATCGGAATAATTAATTCTAAGAAAGAAAAATCTCGCCATCTCCCTCGTCTTGCCCTTAAACTTTTAAAGCACTCAGGGCCTATACCATTTAAGCGCTAAATTCTTTTCTGGCTCGGGGCATTCACTATCGTCTCTTCGTTCATTTTGCCTCTCCAATTCATCGCTTCTCGGCCTTTTGGCTAAGACCAAGTGTTGCCTCTCCAATTCGTTCGTTAATTTTGCCTCTCCAACTCAGCGTAGCTTTCTTGAGGGCAGAGAATGACACAATTTGAGCACCATTTCTCCCCAACAGCCCCTATGTCTGGTACAGTTTCACAGACATTGTGTGCATTAATTGATTAAAATAAGCTAGGGGTAGTTACAGATATCATGACAGCCTATCCCAAATATGTAATATTCACCAATGGGAACAGTCCCAGAAGAGATTCGTGGCATGGATAGGCTTTTTTTGAAAGACAGGAAAACCCAGCTTTAAGCAGAAGCTGCTACTAGAGTATTTGGGCTGAGAAGGTGTCCCAAGTTGTACCCTGGCCTTTCCGGCCAGTTCAAGAGAGGTCATAGAATTGGGTGGAATTCAGGGTACACTGCCCAGAAAAGGATGGGGGATAGTTCCTGGGGCCACAAAGAGGTGAGTCTGTGTTTCTGAGGGGAAATTCAGTCCATAGTTCTATCAGGTGAGGACCAGTGCAGGTACCTGCCTCACAGATACCTGGAGGACCTTCTCCTCAAGAAATATTGGGATGTCTGGACTCTGGGGCAAGAGGACCAGCAACAGCAAAGCAGTAACTGGAGTTAGGGTGTGTGTGTGTGGAGTGGCCCCATTTGTCCTCTTTGGTAGAAGTCGCTGTCCAGGATACCTGATGGCATCAGAAGCTGCCATGTGGGCCACAGCAGTAGTTGCCAAGGCTGACCCCTGGCAGGAACCAGAAACTCTGCAGGACCAGAGAGGTGCTAGAGTATCTGACAGCGTTCTCTTTTGTCCAATTTGGCAGTAACTAACACTTTCCCAAACTTGACACCAACAAGAATAAACAGCAATCTTCTCTAGCAGGAGTTGTTACAATTTGCTGACTTTAAAATCTGCTATCACCTCTCCATTAGCCCATTCCTCTCCCTACATCACTCTCTCCTATTCCCCTAATTAAGTAAGTGTGACTCTGACTTTGCTTTTGAAGCTTGAACTAGACTTGAGTTCAGGGGCATTTCTCTAGCCATCCTGCTTCTCTAGTCTCTCTGACCAAAAAGGTAGAGCAGGAGCTCGAAGAGTGGAAGGTGAGCAAGCAGCCACTTGTAACTGCAAAATCCCTTCTCTTGGATTCCCAGCAAACAGTGGGAGCATGAGTTGCATGCAAATTTTTTCTCCTTAGCCCTGTCTTCAAATTTTCCTTTGAAGAGCATTCTCCAGGGGAGAAGGAGAGGGAAGAACACAACACAGACTTAGCCAGGGGTCCGCTGTTGCTTAAGTCTGGACTAGAATTTAATGTCCCCTCCAACTCCAAAGAACCTGTGATCTGTATCTGCAAACCAAATGTCACCCGGAATTTTCCTGTCCCTTACCGTTTAGTTAAGGAGTAATCACTGGTTTTGCCCAGCCCCACAGTGGGGAGGGGGGGGCGGGGGGGGCGGTCTGACTTCAAATTCTGCCATTTTGGAAAGAAAAGAAGAAAGGAAGGGCGGACGACGGAAGGCAAGAGGAAAGGAAGGAAGGGATTTATAGCATTGGCGGGAGAAGGAGATGTCCATCCCAATTAGGGGATGAGGGTGTTTATCCGACCCCAGCCTACAGCTTCGGTTCTGCCCACGAGGCAGCCTCATTCCTGAGTCCTCTGACTGCACAGCTTCCTCCCATCTCTCCTCTCCACTCCCCCCTCCACAATTATTTTAGAACTCCAATTTTTTTTTTAAGATTTTATTTATTTATTTGAGAGAGAGAGAATGAGAGAGAGCACATGAGAGCGGGGAGGGTCAGAGGGAGAAGCAGACTCCCTGCCGAGCAGGGAGCCCGATGTGGGACTCGATCCCGGGACTCCAGGATCATGACCTGAGCCGAAGGCAGTCGCTTAACCAACTGAGCCACCCAGGCGCCCTAGAACTCCAATTTTTATCCGGATCCCGCAAGGTAATTCAGCTACTCCTCAGATCTCTCTGGTAATTCCCAAATTCACTCCGACACCACATTGGCCTGTGGAAATCCAACCTCCGATAATAAGGTTGCCTTTTATGGCCAGGACACCCTAGAGAGCAGTTGCCGGTAGGAGCCGCAATTCTCCCGCTCTGCTTAGTACTTTTACGAATTCCTTTATTAGCAAAGCAAATTTTAAAAGCAAAGCGGGTGAGGATCCCACCAAAGCTGGGATGAGGGCGTGCGATCGTCGGGGGCTCGCCCCGAGGCAGGCTGCGGCGGTTCGCGGGCGCTGCCCTTGGGGACCCCCAAGTCCCCGGCCGGGGCCCGCGCCGCGCCCCGCTCCCTGGCTGGAGGCCCCGCCGCGGGCTTCCGCGCCCGGGTCCGCGCCTGCGGGCTTCCCGCCTCCCGGGGCGTCGTGAGGCCCGGCAACCTGCTCGCGGGTAGGTACGTGGGCGGGGCAGGCGGCATTTAAGGCGGGCACCGCCTCGGCGGGCCAGCGGCTGGAGCTCGGCCGCGGGAGGTGCGCCTAGGGCTCGCGCCGCCGCCGCCGCCCGATCGGACCCCCGCCCCGCGCGCGCTGCCACCCAGAGGCCGGACCCCGAGCCCGCCTGCCGGCGGCACCACCACCCGCGCCATGACCGAGGTGCGTGCGGGCCCCCCGCGCCGACCCGGACCCGCGCAGAGCGGGTGGAAGACGAGGCGAAGGAGGAACGACTGGCCGTCTGGATTCTGCGCTCCTGACCAATGCACGGCTCCTCTCCCTTCCCGGAGCTGGCTGGGGTGAAGACCCGAATCCAGACGCTGTGGGAAGGGGCCCCAGGGGTCCTAGGCCGGCTCCGATGTGGCGCGTGGCGCCGGCCTGGGGGTTACACGGCCGCCCTGCCCGGGATTGGGATTCAGTGGGCACGTTCCACCCAAGAAGCGGGACACACGCCGTGTGTCCTGGAGGGAGCAAGATACTAGGGAGACCCTGGGGCTTGGAGGGGTCTTGTCTCGAGTTGGAGGAGGTAACTTCCCCCACCTTCCCCAACCCCAGGGTGGGGTCACCCTGAGGAGATGCCGGCAGGGCTGTGCTACCCAGCCTTCCCTCTACACTGGAGGGGAAGAAAGGAGAGAAAGGCCTGGGAGTTGCTGTTTGAAGGTGGGGAAGAGAGAGCCTCTCCACATCGTGCGACTTGCTCTCTCTAGAGGAGAGAATGAAGGGGGGGGGGGGCTCCCTTCCCTGTAGGTCCCTGACCCACAGAGAGAAGCGCTCGACACCTCTTCAGAAAACCCATCTTGGACCAATATTGTACCTCTGCTTTCCTTTCAGAAAACACTAGAAATTTACTCTGTGGAGCTCAGTGGAATGAAAGACATCGAACAAACAGACAAGGGGAACGGCAAGGAGAAGTACAGAGGCCTGAAGAACTGCTTCCAACCCAAAAAGAATCACCGTAAGGAGGAGCTTACGAAAGAACTGGATCTGGTCAGTTGATTTGGTCCTTAAGCCAAATGGGTCCACTGCCCTTCCCCCTGGAGAACTTGCCCCTATAACCTACCTCTTAACAAAAGAAAGATCAGTCTTAAGGATTTGAAAATCCCATGAGATTTGTTTCCTAGTTTAAAATGAATGGTGTGATAATATCTGCCCAGGGGTCAGAGGCCTTCTGCAGGATTCCTGCATTCTAGTTGTAGGCACTCCCAGGTAGAACTCTGAGGGAAGCGCCTCAGATTCCAGTCCCCACAGGCACAGCCCAGACCTCTCTCCTTCCTAGCTGTTTCACTGAGATATCCCTAACCAACTGCCAGTTTTTAGCTGATAAGGGAAAACTACTGGAGCTGGAACCATGCAGGAGGAAAACAAAACCACTAAACCTTGCTAGGTTTCTGGCTATGTATGCCCCATGAGAAAGAATAATTTCACTGTTAAGAATATTGGGCTTGGATTCAGAGGACCTTAGGCTCAATTAAGTTCCACTTCAGTGATTGGTAACTGGGAGCAAACTACCTAGCTTCAGTGAAGCTCCATTTTCTTTATGTAAAGTGGGAAATAAACAATTTGCATGGGTGAGGGAGGGGGAAAAGTGAGACAAGAGTAAGACTATTTTGTAATTTATGCAATTTATAATTAAATTATAATTTATAATTAGTAATTTTGTAATTTATGGAAGCACAATATTATTCCTGTTAAGGAAGAACTTTAGAGTTATTAAAGCTGGCCACCATGGGCAAGATCTGCCTCAGAACTGAAACGTGACAGGTTATGTTTCAGGAATGTCAAGGGGGGAACTTCTACACCAAGCTTGAAGTTTTATAGATCGTCCCTGCAGTTCACTGCAGACTTGAAAACTGTCACTGTTGGAGCAGACAGCAGTGGTGTGAGTTCACGTGGGCTACAGAGCCCATTGTTAAATATTCAGGAATTTGGCAAGTTGATTGACACTGAGTTAGCAGCTTGGAACTTGGTTATGGTGAAAAATCGGTAAATGCTACAAATCAGAGTTTTGTATTTATTTTTCCTGGAGAGCTTGTTAGACATTTAGCAGCACAACACTAGGCATTTGCCTATGTATGTTCTGACAGACAGTTAAGAACACAGCCCTGAAATAGGACTGACCTGAATTCAGATCCCAGTTTCATTGACATTCAGTTCCTACTTCAAAAAATAAGAATTAAAGACAGTGCCTACCTGTTGGAGTTGTTAAAAAGGTTAAATGAAATAAAACTGGAGAAAGACTTAGCACAGAGCCAGGTAATAGTCGTTCTTATTTCCTACGAATCTCTGGCATTTAGGATTGAAGACATATCTAGTCTTCCTTGAAATTGCTACTTATAACATGAATATATATCCATTCTATCATAAGCCTGTTTATTATGAAGAGAATCTCCCTTCTTTGAGCATTCTGTGAAGATATATAATATAGAAAGATAGTTTTCATAGTGTTAGCTAGTGTTCCCCTGCTTCCCGGCTGAGAGAGAACCATCTGTCCTTCTTCTTTCCCAACATTCTCACAAGAATCCTATAATTTGATTTGTGAACGCCTACTGGGATGCCCTCTGGCACATTAGAACCTTGACAAGAATGAAAGGATCCCTGGCTGCTGAATGAACAGGCTGATAATGTCGGAAGCCTGAGCCACAGGATGCCGCCCCGAGCTATTCTAGTGCTGGCCAGCAGAGGGCGCCACAGGCACCCACCATGCCTCCTGCCCCAGGCTCTCCTCACCAAAGCCAGGGCTGAAGAAGGAAAGAGTCTGCCTCCTTCTGCCTCACGTACAGGCCCCTTAAAGTCTGAGGTCCAGCCATGCAAACAATGGCTCTAATCACCTGTTACTTGTATCTGCCCAGAATTTAGCACACTGCACAAAACTGTGTCTTAATCCTTTGAATCCCCAGCAATATCTTTCAATCAATATTGGTACAATGACTAAATGAATAAAGCAGAATCCGGCTGAGGAGAAGACAAAATAATTTTTTAATTGGAAAATCTAATCTCTTAACACAACAGGTAACCTTTTTTGCATATACTTAAGAAAAGAGTTGGTTCTAGTACCCAAAGATTCACAGTATAAATCTTTGTTTCAGATGATCAGAGCTTGAAGAATCCTGAGTGCTAGGTTTTCTAGGTGGGGTAAAGAAGGCTTACTTACCCCTGGGTTTTCAGAGACAGGAAGAGGCTTCTAATCCTGTAGCCCAATGGCTCTCAAGGGACAAGATAGGAAGAATTTGGCCCCCATGGGACATTTAGCGAGGTCTGGAGACATTTCTGCTTATCACTACTCCAAGGAGGGTGCTAGTAGGTGGCCTATAGTGGGTGGAAGCCGCCTCCCCCCCAACAAGGAGTTATTGGCCCAAATGTCAATAATGCCAAGGTTGAGAAACTCTGCTTTAGTCTAATGATTCTATAACAAAATTAGCAAGTGTGGGCCATACTGGTATTTATTTGGCAGTTTTAAACCTGCAGGGCTTCTCTAACTAGTGAACTCCTTGAGTCTCAAGTACTTGATTAAGGAAAGGCTTGCTTCTCTCTACCAGACACTACCTGCCCAATGGAGGGCTCCCTGGGTAAGGAGCTGTCAGATGGGTCTGGTCTGGTTTGGTATTGCTCATCACCATCAACTAATCCCAGAACTCAGGTCTGAACTAAGTATCCAGATCACTAGCACCCGGACAGCAGGCAGGTATGCTAGAACTTGCATGTGCTGGAGATCAGATTGAGATGAAATGCATTGCTTTTTGTTCGTAAAAACTAAAGACAGCTAATATGTAGTAAATGACAAATTCAGTCTGAACTCAAGGGATGGCCAGAAAATCCCCTGGCCGGTGAATCAGAAGAGTTTCTCCTGTAGCAAGACTCTCTCTTCCCTCAATGCAATAACCACCTGGCACAGAGGCTTTTCTCGTTCTCTCCCTCACTCTCTGGCCCCCTCCTATCATCAGTGCTTCTCTCAGTTTTCCTGGGCTGGGCCAAGCTTAGGGTTTGAGTATTTTGGAATTATTAATGCACTCTCTTCTTCCTTTCATGGACTTTAGGATGACCACAAACTCAGCATTAAGGAACTGGAAAAGAAATATGGTACAAACATCATTACAGTAAGTCATCAAGGGATTGGGGACTGGGAAGAGAAGCCCTGGGACTATGCAAAGGACTGTACAAAGCTGTGTGCTTAGGGTGTATGGAAAATTCAATGGCATCTTTAGGATGAAGCAGCAACCTTGAGAATGCCAGTCACCCACACGCCCAGCACGTGAGAGAGGGCTGGTTGACCTCAAGAGCTGGCGTGTCTGAACTAAAGCCCAGAGTCAAGCCCCTCTGCTGAGCTGGACGCCTGGCTATCAACATTTCTTTTGATTGTAACTGCAGGAAAGCCGTGGTATCCCCAGAAATGCTCAGACACTTCCTTATGGTCATGGTCAGAGGTTGCTTTAGATCCCAATGTCCAGGAAGTATAATGGTCTTATCAAAGAATGGGGAAAACCAATGTTAAAAAGCAACCATCCACTACATCTAAAACCAATGATGTAATGTATGGGGATTAACATAAGAATAAAACAAAATTAAAAAAAGCGCAACCATCCAGAGTGACAGTCTTATAACCCTGCTCGTCCATCTCTTCCTGTGAAAAGGCGCGATGACTCCAGGACATCCTGGTGTGCTCTCAGGTGTCTGGCAAATTCCCCCACCACAGAAGGACTGCTTTCTTGTGTGAATTCAAACTCAAATTAAATCTCAAAAGTTTTGGTGTCTTGACATCAGGAGATTTGGATACATCTGTCCAAGTCAACAAAAAGACTTACTGTGAGCAACGCACAAGACTGGCAGTGAGAGGGCCAAAGAGAGGCAGGTGATCCCTGGTCTTAAGGAGGAAGCATTTCAGCAGCGGAGGCAGGGATGTACGAGAGTAGCATAACATCCAGTCTGTTTGACTTAGACGGCCAAGAGAGGTCTAAATGGTGTCCTGAGTGAGTGACAGAGTCTGACCAGAGGAGCCAGAATGGGCTCCCTGGATCATGCAGTGTTCGAATCAGGACATAAGAGGAGGATTTGGGTTTAAGCTAGCAGAGTACCCAGGAGACCGGAGAGGACAGTCTGGGGTTTCTGGGAGCTAATGTGTGTGGAAAGGGGAAGGAGTGGATAGAAAATGAGACCAAGGAGAGGTAATTTGGGTGAAACCATCAAGTACTTCCATATTAAACTAAGGAATAAGGACTATATTAGTTACACACAATTTCTAAACAGGGAAGTGATTTAAATAAGATTGGCTTTCAAAAGGTATTTCTGGTAGAAGATATATACAGATACAGGTAGTAGGTAGGTGGATAGATTTTTTTTTAAGTGGGAGATGGAAGGGTCTAGAAGAATGAGACAATAACCCAGGAATATAAAATGAGGAACTGAAACAAGGCAGCAGCAGTAAGATGGGAAGGGAAGGGGACAAGATTCCAGAGATGTTTCAGAGAAATAACTGGTAGGACTTTGTTTCACTGGGGTATTTGAACAAATTCCTGATCCCAGTTACCAAGGTAGAGAAGCAAGAGGAGGAGATTTGGTCAGGTGGTCAACAGGGCCATGGCGGGACATGGGGCTGAGAGATTAGAGAAAACAGCAGGAAGGAGATGGTGATGAATTTTATTTTGACTACAAGTTAGTGACTTCAAATCCAGTTATTCAGCAAATATTTGAGCCTGTATTACAGAACAAGCAGGACACCTTATAAAGGACACGAAAATCAACAAGGATAGACTCTTTTTTAAAAAAAAATATTTTATTTATTCATTTGTCAGAGAGAGGGAGAGAGAGCACGAGCAAAGGGAGTGGCAGGCAGAGGGAGAAGTAGGCTCCCCGCGGAGCAAGGAGCCGGATGCGGGACTCGACCCCAGGACCCTGGGATCATGACCTGAGCCAAAAGCAGCCACTTAACCAACTGAGACACCCAGGCGTCCCAGAGTCTTTTTTTTTTTTAATTAAAGATTTATTTTACTTACTTTAGAGAGCACACATGAGTGGGGGGTGGGGCAGAGAGAAAGGATCTCAAGCTGACTCCTCACTGAACGTGGAGCCCAACACGGGGGTTGATCTCACGATCTCAAACAACCATAAAGTAAGGCCTGAGATCATGACCTGAGCTGAAATCAAGAGTAGGAAGCTTAACCAACTGAGCCACCCAGGCGCCCCAAGGATATAGTCTTTAAGCTGTCCTTTAAGTAGCTTACAACATGATTAGGAAGAAAAAATAATGACAAGACTTTCTCCATATAGGATAGTTTGTGGGGGAAAAAACCTTATGAGTCACAATACAGGATTTCAAGGGCGGTGGAGGGGCCTCTGTACCCCGTGGAGGGCACGCTTACCAGGGAGGGCTTCTGGCAAGAAGTGACCACACGTGGGCTTCAGAGTTGGGTAGAATTTATAACTCTTCAGATGAACAAGAACTTAGAACTTGGAGTGGATATAGAGAAAAGCAGAAAGACACCAGACTTAAGGATGAAAAATTAGCCGGTGCAATATGTAGAAGTTCCAGAACAGAATATTTTCTGGATAGTTACCACATTGCCCTTAACCTTGGCGATTAGCTTTTGTATTTCGAATCCTCCTTAGCCAAGTTACTCCTACCTCTAGATGAATCTCCAAGAAACTAAAATGCCTTAGTAGAGTCTAATACAGTGGCTCTGGAGCCAGGTTGCCTGGTCCCATTTACTAGCTGGATGATTTAACCTCCATCTGCCTCAAATTTCGTATCTGTAAGATGAGGATAATAATTGCACCTTCTTCAGAAGGTTATTTTGAAGAGGAAATAAGCAAATGTACAGAGTACATTGCCTGGCTGATACGAAGCATTAATATTAAATGCTCTTTTTAAAAAAGTGCGAGTTGGGAGAGGTGAGGCATCATCCACTTTTCCCAGGCCCTTCTTGGGCATGGTAACTCCTACCCACAACCTGCAGAAAAATGACATCCAATCTGAGGGAAGAGAAATGTCTAATCCCTGTTTGTTTTTGTCTGGCTTTCTCAGGGTCTCTCCAGTGCCCAAGCTGCTGAGCTCCTGGCTCGGAATGGGCCCAATGCCCTCACTCTTCCCAAGGAAACACCGGAGATCATCAAGTTCTTCAAGCAGATGGTGGGGGGGTTCTCCATCCTTCTGTGGATAGGAGCCATCCTGTGCTGGATTGCATATGGGATCCAGTACTCCATGAATACATCCTCATCCCTAAACAATGTAAGGGGGACTCCTTCCAGGGTTTGCTAAACTAGTAATGGGAAAACAACCATAAAGTAAGGCCATTAGTGGGCAGAGCAGTGGGCTGCAATCAGGAGTCTACACTGATCAATCACTGTGCAGGTTTGGGAAAATCGCCAGCTGTAAAATACAAACCATAGCTGACTTTCTGATGTCTCAGAGGCAGTATGAGCATGAATTTTAAAGGGAGAGAGAGACGCACTGTAAGTTCCTAAGGGGACAAAAAACATCTAGATCCATGTGAAACATTTTGGGTTTCTCTCTCCTCAAAGCTAATTGTGTCCCTTTGACATGGGGAGCATCTCTGCCTGCTGCTAACAGTACCAAAACCAAAAAACTGACCTGGCCAGCATGGGACTAAGAGAAAGAAGCCAGATGCAAAAGGCCACATACTCTTTGATTCCATTGATAAGAAATGTCCAGAACAGTCACACCCTAGAGACAGAAAGCAGATCAGAGGTGGTTAGGGCTGGGGGCAGGAGTGGGAAATGACAGCCACTGGGCAGTAGCGGTCTTATTGGGATGATGGAAATGTCCTAAAACTAGCTTGTGATGATTGTTGCGAAATTGTGTAAATTCATCAAAAATCACTGAATTATACACTTTAAATGGGTAAATTTTGTGACCTGTAAATGACACCAGAATACCACTGCCATGTCTCTCACCTTCCCATGGAGAGCTCCAGCCCTAGGACCTGGCTCATTCCTGATGCCTGTTCTTCTGATTGATGCTTCTTCTCCTTACCCAGGTATACTTGGGCTGCGTGCTTGCCTCGGTCATTATTTTAACAGGGATCTTCGCTTACTACCAAGAGGCAAAAAGCACCAACATCATGGCCACCTTCAATAAGATGATCCTGCAGGTGAGTGGCAGCCATCCCTCTCTGGTCTCCACATGACTTCAGATGAGGAAGCATCAGATAAGGAGGAGAATGGGGCCTCTGAGGCAGCGGGTCAGTGCTCCACCCATTGCTGTCTGAGAAGTCTTAGGCAATCTTTCTGAAGCCCCCTTTCCTCACAGAGTTTTGAGATAATCAGGGAAGTAAGATACAGGAAAATGCTTAGTCAAGAGCAAAACAGGACAGAAACATCAGTCATCGCACAACATCTTCTATTACTGCTCTTGAGCTTTGGTGAACTGTTCAAACAAAAGTAATTCAGGTGCTTCCAAAAGTGAGTTGTAGAAGTTCGGGAGTATTCCCTGGTAGCCAAGGAGGTCAACCTACAATTCTTTATCTGTGACCATTTTTGCACCCATTTTGGAGTCTCTCTGCATGTTGCCCCAAACTGCTGTCAGTGAGGGACGCCCACTGCTCCTGTCTTCCCACAGGACCCCACGTTAGGAGTCCTCTAGGGAGATCACACACCACTATCAGCACAGTGGGAACACCACGCTGCCCCTGGCCCACAGAGCTGCCAGCTGGAGAAGGTTCTGGATGGAATCGTCCATGCTAAGAAGTGGGAGATCTGCCTTCTACTCTGTTAAAGTCTTCCTGACCCGAGCAAGAGTATTAAACCCTTTGGCTCAGCCATCGGCGTTCTTCCTGGACATCCCAGCCAAGATCATTCATCCTTAATTGTCCCTCTCTCTGTCATGCTTGGGGCTGTCAATTTGCTATATCTGCCCACAGCAGCGTTTTCTGGTTCCAAGAATATCTCTAAGAGTTCCTCCTCAAGAAAAGATAGTTCTTAGTGTCTTCAGGCCCCAAGTAAAAGTCTTTTGTTGCATTTTTGCCATTCTGACAGCTGTGCCTTCCAGTGCCTCCATTCCGGAGATGTGGGGAGATGAGGATGGAGGAGAGTTGGCATCACTCCAGGATCTGAGGCATCTGTCACTGTTTTCTTTCACAGCAAGCTCTTGTCATTCGAGATTCAGAGAAGAAGACAATCCCTGCAGAGCAACTGGTGGTGGGAGACATAGTGGAGATTAGAGGAGGAGACCAGATCCCTGCAGACATCAGGTTGTTGTCTGTTCAGGGCTGTAAGGGAAGCGCCACAGGGCACCCCAAAGATCACGCCGATAACTAGCTGCCATTCTGTTGTCTTTCTAGATCTCAGTGTGACTGGGACAGGGAACAAGATGCCCAGTCTTGAACTTTTTCCAAAATTTCTTCTAGGTAGATAACTCATCTCTCACTGGAGAATCTGAACCCCAGCCCCGCTCCTCTGAGTTTACCCACGATAGTCCCCTGGAAACAAAGAACATTGGCTTCTATTCTACAACCTGTCTGGAAGGTAAGTCTGCCTGGTTCCCATGACTCCATGCACCACCCATATCACCTCTCCCCTGCAGGCTTTATGCTCTTGTCTCTTTACCATCTCTTGCTACAAAGCTTTTCAAGGACAAAACATGGAACTGAAGAGCCCAGAGAACTTTGTAATGTTGTGTGCTAATTGATCATGTAAACCAGCAAAGAGAAGACTATAAGCAGGCTATGGTCCCCTCGTAGCTGAGGATCCCCGGAATAAAATGTCTACTTCACCTGTAGGCACAGCGACTGGCATGGTCATCAACACGGGCGACCGCACCATCATTGGTCAGATCGCCTCACTGGCTTCAGGAGTCGGAAATGAGAAGACACCCATTGCCATTGAGATCCAGCACTTTGTTCATATCGTGGCCGGAGTGGCCGTCTCCATCGGCATCCTTTTCTTCATCACCGCAGTATCCCTGAAGTATCAGGTCCTGGACTCCATCATCTTCCTCATTGGCACATTGTGGCCAATGTGCCTGAGGGTCTCCTGGCCACTGTCACTGTGAGTCCGTGCTGCTAGGTGGCCTGTCCCCTGACCCTGTTAACACATGGCATTCTGCTGTGCTGGGTGTGCGCCCACCGTAAACTGCAAGTCTCCTTCATCTTCAGAACAACACTCCCTCCCTGTCAGGGGACACCATGGGACATTCTGAGGAGACTGTTTCTTAGAGAGACAAACAGAATTGTGATATTGTTAACATTTTTAACACTGTCCTAGAAAACTTTATATTTTCATTTTTAGGAGCTCTATCTGCAAATTGCATATTATCTTTCTCCTTAAAAGCTCGGTAAGATAAAAAAAAAAAAGTAAGATCTAGATAAGACAGACACAAACCACCACTTACAGATTTTCAGGAAGCCTGACACCTTCTCTACATTTTCACATTTCTTAAAAAGAAAAAAGAATCCTTGGCAGTTTCTACAACTGAGGAACTTAGGCACATTGTTTACCTCCTACATTTAATAAAAGGATTATGGCATAAAAATAGGGCTTTATGTGGTTTATCAGCCACTGGGTCAGCTTTGCCGCATCTGTAACTATACCTCTGTCCTGAAATCAGTTCGGCTCCAGCTGCTTCTACGTTATGGAGCCTGAGTTCAAAATGATGATTTTTCTCAAAGCTTCTTCCCCTCTCTCTCTCTCTCTCTCTCTCCTGTCTAGGTGACTCTGTCGCTGACAGCTAAACGGATGGCCAAGAAGAACTGCTTGGTGAAGAACCTGGAAGCAGTGGAGACCCTCGGCTCCACCTCTATCATTTGCTCAGACAAGACTGGGACTCTGACCCAGAACAGGATGACTGTGGCCCATCTGTGGTTCGACAATCAGATCTTCATAGCTGACACCAGTGAAGACAATTCAAGTAAGTCTTCTGGAACATTCAGTGTGGCCCGAAGCTATGGACTCTAGCAGAGGGGGCCGCGCAGAACATGGCAGCATTGGTGTGCAGTCTCAGAGAATTGGTTGAATAGTATGGATATTAGGTCCAGGACCCACAGCATCACTGTTCTGTTTTCCAGACCAAGTCTTTGATCAAAGCTCTGGAACCTGGGCCTCCTTATCAAAGATAATAACATTGTGTAACAGAGCTGAGTTCAGACCAGGACAAGAAAGCGTCCCCATCATGAAGGTAAAGCTTCAGTATATATTCGGTCTTAAATCATAGCCAGTTTGAAGTCACTTCCTCTGTTCTGATTTGGTACTTGATTTAAATCTCTTCCACTGAGTGAAGTTTGTACTAGTAAGAGGAAGTCTGACTCACAAGACCTGCAGAAAATTTTCTTCACCCTAACTTGCTTCGAGAAATCACCGAGATGTCTAAAAGTCCTCAGAACAGTGGTTTAGGTCTATTGAAAAATCTGTCTCATTCCTGAAAATGAATGTACCTTTAAGTTACTTTCCTTTACAAGCAAGTAGATATAATCAAAGTTCCTTTATTACATAAGTGCCATTCACTGACGTTTAAAATATAATTGGAAGGAAATAGAAGCCTTGACCCTAGAACGTATTCCTCTTGGCAGCAGAAGCGGTGCTAAGGGGCCCTGAAATGTTAGCATATACAAAAACAAACTTTTCTTTCTCCCCCTTCCTCTTCCCCTTCCTCTCTCTTCTCCCCCTGTCCTCTCCTTCTGAGTGAGTCAATCAATCTGTCTTCTCCTGGCTTTTCTATTTGCCATCTGTTTCCTTCATTGACTCTTTCTTTCTTGTACTTTTTGTTTGGTTGCTTTTCTTTGTCAGACAGCTCATCAATTCTCTTCTTGGCCCATCACTTCTCTGTCCGTATCTTTCAAATCCTTATCTCCAGTTCTGATTTTTCACCCAAACTCCATGGATCTCCAATTAGCTGTGTGTTCCCACTTGAAAGTTTTGCCATGTTAGACTCTGAACAAATTACACTTGCCACCTTCCACCTGTACCCAACCTGGCTCTAAATCACTATCTTGTCCCTTTTCTATTTTTCTAGGACATAACCATTTTAATTTATCATCCAGTCCAAAATTTTTGGAAGTCATCTTTAACTTTCTTCTTTCCTAATATCTAGTGAATCACCAAGTCCTATTATTCTTGCTTCAAATAAATATATAATTTTACTTTTCTTTTATCACCAGTACCTTACATCTAATTAATTATACCAACCTCTTGATTGGCCTCCATGATTCCAGTTTATCCCTTCCCCCAGTCTTTCTTGCATACCAGTAATCTTCCTTAAATACTTCTTTAGATGAACTGCTTCACCTAACTTGGCTCAAAAACTTTCCATGCATCTGTTTTCTGCTGCTCGAGTTTTGGACCTTGCCTGCCTTTCAGGGCCCTCTGAATCTCTCTGCATCCTCCATATCCACCTGTACACTCAGCACTTACAGTGGAACTCTTCCACTTCATGCCTTCATTCATGGCATTCTGATTTCCAGAAGGCTTTCTTTTGTTCCTTTGTCTGCCAGTTATCCACCCGTCTTTCAAGACTAGTTCATAGCTGGTTTTTTCATGGAACCCTCCAGGTCTCACAGAGCTCAAACTGTTTCGAATTTCCTTAATGCCAGTAAGCAGCACCATTCAGTTTAACACCTCCACCATGGTTCGGTCAGTGGCTCATTGTGGTGTAATCGTTTGTTAGATACTGAGCTTAGTCAGGCCGTCTGCTGGCTCATTGAAAATAATCACAAAAGAATCAGATTATGTGCTACAAATATTTGTTTTCTCTTGATTCTCAGAGAGTTGTGGCTGGAGATGCCTCAGAAACTGCTCTTTTGAAGTTCTCAGAGGTCATTTTGGGTGATGTGATGGAAATTAGAAAAAGAAACCACAAAGTAGCTGAAATTCCTTTTAACTCAACCAACAAATTTCAGGTGAGTTTTTCCTCACAACTGAATCTTTGTTATCATAAGAATGGCATTTCTACCTGTAAGTGTCCTTTGGTTAGTATGTATTTTGAATGATATTTGGCTTCAAAAATTGCCTTCAGGGATGGAGGGCCTGGGCATCTGGTAAGCCCAGAACAGGTTTTCCTTGCTGGCCTCTTTCCTTTGCCAGAAATAGGTAGAGAAAAAAGAAAAGTGAAGATCTTGTCAGGGCCTGGCTGTCCCTATGAATGATTGATCTATATTATACCCCCCCCACCCCCCCACCCCCACACACACGCCACCTCCACCCCCACCAGGTAACTTGCACAGGTGAGGGGCAAAAGCCATATCCTAAAGGATAAATGAAAAGTGGGGGATTGGGGAGAACTAACATTTACTGCTCCCTTAATCTGTATCTGGTTCTCTCACTTAATCCTCACGATAAACCTGAGGTAGGATTACTTAATCTCAATTTCTAGGTGAGGAACCAGGTCCTTAGGAAATGTTGATGTGACCAGAGTTCCCAAGCACCTAAGTGGCACAACAAATTTTCACATATATTTTCAACTCCCAAGGCCATGCTTTTTCTACCACCACACAGAACAGTTTAGCTTGGGCCTTGTGAGTAAACCTTGCCCTTACCAGCCCCATATGCAGTTGACAGGGACCTCCTTTCTACCCATTGCTCAGGAAGAAAATGGCCATCATTGCCTATCTGTCTTCCCTCATTCCAGGCTGGCCAACGGTCAACTAGCTCCATCCTCCGCAGGGTGGGACAAATGACAGTTTGTAGCCCAGTTTACTGCTGCAGGTGGGACTTCCCATAGACTCCAAAGCCCTGAGAGCAGGGCCTTGTGACTTGGTCTTGGCGTAACAGGAAAGTATATAAATAAGATAACCATGTTTGTGTAAAAGTTTCTGGTGTTTACCCACACATTTCGTTTGGATGGCATTTAGGATTGGGAAATAACTGTTGCAAACATCTCTGTGGATAACAAGCCAATGAAGAATTGCAGTTAGCCAAATAGACAACTAAAAAATGTATGAAGTAAAATATTAAAGCCAGTAAATCAGGTCTCTTGTTCAAAACAGACGTGAAAATAGAATGAGTAATGATCCTAAAATAACAACAGTAATGATAGTTATTATATGCTAATTTCTACATGTATGGAACCACTCAATTCTCTCAACTCTACAAGGTAGGGAATGAGGAAACTGAGGTACAGGGCATTATCACACAGCTAGTAAGGACCAGAGCCAGGATTCAAGCAGACCCAGGGAGTCTGTGCTCTTAAGGAGTAGATCGAATTGTCTTCTAATCAGGAACAAGACTCAGAATCCTGCTGGGGCCCCATCTACTCTAGTAAAGACTTCCCTCATCATGTGAGAAATGAGAAAAAGCAGGCTCCATGAGGCTTCATATACTAAATGTTGAAGTGGAGAATAGGCTACCCAGAGTTGGGACTAGATAGGAGGACCTCTGCGGGTTCCTACAGAAGAGGTCAAAGAGCCTCTCTGGAGGCTGTTAGTGCCATTTTATATCTACACATGAGCAACACTCAAAAAAGAGTCTTTGATGTTGTGACCTTGGAAGGTCTCTGGGGTATCATTAACCAAAGGCAACAAAGTGGAAAGTCTGTGTCTTATTGATTTTAGAATAGCAATTCCCCAAACTGAGACCAGCCCATAAAAATATTTCCAATAGTTTGTGGCAAACTGGAAAATTAGGACAGTATTTTATAAAGTTCTGTATAAGGATGAGTGTATTTAATTCAAAAGATTATCCTTTATATGGTACCTGACTAAGGCAGGGACTCTGGAGCCTACTAGCCTGAATTCAAATCCCAGTTCAGCCACCTCTTAGGGCGTGACCTTGTTCATGCCAGTTAACCCCTCTGTGCCTCAGTTTCCTTCCTTGTAAAAGGTGATAATAATAGTACCCATAGCCGTAGGGTAGTTTCGAGAATTAAATGAGTCAATGTGTGAAGCACTTAGAAGAGTACACACTATGAAAGTGTTTATTGTTTCTACTTTTTAAATGTTAAAATATCCTATCTTCGAGAAGATGATAGTGATAATAGATGGGAGGTTTTGCTTTGGTTTTGGTCAGTTAGTTGGGGTTTTTTTAATGTGTTTACTTGGCCATTAAAAACAACAGCAATAAGAACAACAACAAGAACAAAAAAACTATGTTTGCCCTCTACTTTTTTATTTTTTATTGTGCTCCTCTCTGGTATCCAGAAGGCTAAGAACTACTGATTTAGAATCAACTGATAGACCCAAAATGGTAGGGTTTTTTGTTTTGTTACGTTTTTTTGTAACTTACTCATTCTCTTTCAAACACTCCAGCTTCCTGAAATTCCTTTTGAAGGCTTACCTGGTATATAACAGCTTCCATAAGACTTAGCCATTTTATATAACTTTTTTTTAGATTTTTCCTGATTACCTTATTAGGATGAATCTGGAAATAGAATCAGTAGATGAGAGGATATTGATATGAAAATTGTGTTACTTAACTGTCCTGAAAGCCTGTACGTGAGAGTGTCTACTTCCTCCACCCCCACCATTTTCCTTCACCTCCAGGCAGTAAAACTGGGTTAATTTGGAGCTGAAGAGGCATAGGAACTCCTGCTGCCCTCATGCCTGCCTGAGCTCAGAATAGCTTGGGACCCAAAGGCTGCTACCCATGATAGGGAGGTAGAGACAAGAAGCAAGAAGAGGTGGCTCACAGTCCTCGGACCCCTACGGGCACCACAGGAGATCTGGTTCAATACACAAGACTTCACAGGGCAACAACCACATCTGGCCTCCCTAAAGCAACTAGTTTCTGTTTGAAAGATGAGATCTACTTACTTTCAATTCAAATTCAGGGTGCCGCTCTGAGCAGGACCAAGTCTAGATCTCTGCATATTACTTGACCACAAAATAAAAAGGATAGAACATGCCTGTAGTGAACACTCCATTTCATGCCAAGGATAAGTAGCCTAAGGAGAGAAAGGGATGTCTTTAATTTTCTTGTCATGTTGCTACTTAAGAGATCTGTCCAGTTCAGGCCCTTATGAGTAAAGATGGTGTCATTATTTAATGGCAGGGAATACGTAACACACTCAATTCCTTCCCTCCCAGCTCTCCATACACAAAACGGATGACCCCAATGACAAGCGCTTCCTCATGGTGATGAAAGGGGCCCCTGAGAGGATCTTAGAGAAGTGCAGCACCATCATGGTCAACGGCCAGGAGCAGCCCCTGGACAAGAACACAGCCGAGGCCTTCCACACAGCATACATGGAGTTGGGAGGCCAGGGGGAGCGTGTGCTGGGTGAGCTCTTGGTGGCAGAACCCTTACCTGTCACCTGTTGGGTGTGAGGCTCTATGCCAGGTCAGGGCACAAGAGGAGACAGGCTTATTGTTTAGCTGAGTAGCTATGCATCCACATGAATCATAGAAAGAAGAATATGATAAACATACGAGAATATTATGTGGTAGTACTGAGGAGGGTGGGGTGGCTTCCAGATAAAGAAAATCTGGGAAGATTTTATGGAAGGAGTTACATTTTAAACTGGACCTTGCACAGCAATTCTTGAAGGGAGGTGAGGAAAAATATTTGAAGTAGAGGGAACAACATAGGCCAAAGCACAGAGATAGAAATGGATGGGGTGTGTGCTCACATTATGAGTGAGCCAGTCTGTGTGGAGTGTTGCAGATAGATGAGACGGCATAATCCTAGGGAATGGGCAGGAAAGATAGATTGGAGGGCATAATATAGAGTGCCTTATGTGGGTGAGGAACTGGGATTTCATTCCACAATCAGAGAGAGTCACAGAAGGCTTTGGGGTGAGTGAACCAATCAGAATTAGAGTTTAATTCTTGGCAGGAGCAGGGAGAGGAGAGGCATGGGTGTCAGGAGGAGGTGGCTGCCCTTGTTCAGGTAAAAGAGGGTGGGAATTTGATCCAAGGCACTAGGAAGGTGACGGAGGGGGCAGATGCAAGAGACTTCATGGAGGCAGAACTGGTAAGACTTAGCAACTAGTTAGAGGAGAAAAATAAGTTTAAAATAATGTTGAAGTTTCTCACTTGCCTATTAGGGAGAAAACACTGCCAGTAATAGAGACAGGGGTTGTCAGAGGTGGAAGGAACCATAGAAATACAGCCACTGGTAGGAACCTAATTGTGGTAACTTAAGTGGTATCACAGGGTATGTTCTGTCCTGAGAATCTGGGTTGACAGAATGGCACCTGTGAACTACAGAATATGAATTCAAGGTAACAGAAGTTCACAGTTGATGATAAAGCTCATTAAACATCATAAAAGTTCTTGCCAATAGAGATGGAGTCTGTGGAATGTGTGTTTCTAAAGGATATTTGAGCTTGTAAAGCAAATGAAATAATTAAATGAGGTGATAATGCTTTAAGCATGTCTTAAATAGCCCACAGCACCAGGTAGTGTTTTCAATGCAGGATTGATACCCATCTGACAAGAATCGCTCTAGGAACCTTGTGTTTGACCTCTCAGACTCTGTGCTTTACTGAAATGTGTGAGGCAGTGGGGCATGCTGAGAATAAATTTGATATAAAAGCTGATGAGAAAGTCACATGATCTTAGGAGTCCCACCAGACACAGGAATCCCTTCTACCTTAACTCAGATGCCTTCTGAGTAACAAAAGGTTCTCCATTCCTAATGGCCTTTCTCTCACACTTACCTTGATTAAAGAAAGACCAAGCTTCATACCATTCTCCTGGTGGTCCAGATTCTTTCCCCAGTTTATGCAGCAGCATGTGCTGTTTTCTCGCCTCAAATGGCCATCCCATCCCTAACCCTCCCTTCTCCCTGGAAAACTTCTAACTCCTCTCTCAAGAGTCAACTCACATGTGACCTCCTTGGGCGAGTCTTTCCTAATTCCCCAGGTGGCTGTTCTCTATAACACTCACTATGGTGGGATTTTTGTTGTTGTTGTTTTTTGTTTTTTAAAGATTTTATTTATTTATTTGACAGAGACACAGTGAGAGAGGGAACACAAGCAGGGGGAGTGGGAGACGGAGACGCAGGCTCCCTGCTGAGCAGGGAGCCTGATGTGGGGCTTGATTCCAGGATCCTGGAATCATGACCTGAGCCGAAGGCAGACGCTTAACAACTGAGTCACCCAGGCGCCCTCACTATGCTTTTTTATGCTTTACCTCTTTATGTCTCTGTCCCCACACTAAACTGAGACATCTTCAGAAGCAAAGGCCACCCCCTCTTGGTTTCTGTATCCCTAGAACATACCAGAAAATCCAGTGGGCACACAGTAAATTACTTTTGGATGAAATATGTCCTTCCTAATTACAGCGTGCATTTCGGAATTGAAAGAATAAAACGATTCTGGTATACTCTCAAATATTAGTAAAATAGTAAAGGAGTGTGTGAAAATGTTCCTCCTTTTCTTTTATTTCTTATCCTAATTTCATTGACTCCCAAATTCATGTGCATTCCTGGTTTCTGTCATCTCTACCTGCCAGCAGACGAGTTTCCAGAAACTTACACATTTGATATAGACACCATGAACTTTCCCACATCTAACTTCTGTTTTGTGGGGCTCTTATCTATGATTGATCCCCCTCGCTCCACTGTACCTGACGCAGTCACCAAATGTCAGAGTGCGGGGATCAAGGTGGGAGTTATTTTCTTGACTTAAGAAGTCCTCCATTTATGTTGTCTAAGAATGTTTGCCATCAGAGATAGTATTTAAGTCTCAAATATCATAATCCCCCACTCCCTTTTTATCTCAACTTTCACTATACTAAGATTCTAGTAACTGTCCCAGTCAAGGCAAAATACTGTGTCAATGTGGAACAAACCACAATAGTGACTGCAGTGAGAAGGCCATGAATTGACTTCATCTTGCCCTAGATTATGATAGACAATAAAAGGTTTTATTACTTAATCTTAAGGTTCAGCCTCCAAAATCCATTTGCCTTCATATTATCAAAGCCAAATATTAATTCCATTACCATGTTAATATCAAGACTGTTGGAGCAACATGAGGCTGTCTCAAGTACACATCCCCTAGCCCTTTCACAAGTAAGGTAACATCCAAGGGAAAGGGCCTCCTCTAATGTCAGAGTAGGACATGTAAGAAGCTTAGAAGCAAGGATAGATCCAATGAGATCAGTGTGTTCTTCAGAGACAGTTTTGTCTTTGATCTAAAGATCAAGAACTGCCCATAAGGGCAAATCACTATAATCCCTAGTTACATTCTACCAGGTCATGGTAGAGTAGGTGATACTGTCTGGCCAGCCGAGTTTCTCATTGTCCACATGCCTTTCTCATTGTTTGTGTTCTAGGTTATTATGGTTACAGGTGATCTTCCAATCACAGCCAAAGCTATTGCCAAGAGTGTGGGTATCATTTCGGCCAACAGTGAGACGGTGGAAGACATTGCAAAACGCCTCCACATTGCTGTGGAGCAAGTTAACAAGCGGTAAGCACAGAACCAATGTAGCTGAAACTCAAGTTCTTATCCAAGTCCTTATCCTTGTTAGTTCTAAAGAGCTGTGCTATCTGGAGCAAATCCCCTTTTTGCCAGACACTCTCTCAGAGTAATGCTAGGCTGTATTGGTACCATGAAAATTACCCGTGATGTCTTCCTTATATGAAATTGAAAAACCCAGTGGAGTAGATCTGAAAACTTCAGTGCCACATCTAGAGTGAGAAAAACTGAAACAAAATTTATATGAAATTACTTGCCATTGATCCAGTTGTATAATCAGGAATATTAAGAACCCTCTGTGTTTGGTGCACTCCCTTAGTGCTTATTTTGAGTATTTATTCAGATGCTTCATAATGTGTAGCTATGTGAACATACGGTAGCAAATAGAATGAAAGCTTCCTAATGAAAGACTTAGTTTTTCCTTCTGTCTCCTAATTCTTGTAATCATGTCTGTCCTTTAGTCCATTCACCCATTCATTCGCTCATGTATTAATTCTTTCAACAATTGTTTTTTTTTCTTGTTGTTTTAAAGATTTTATTTATTCATTTATTTATTTGAGAGAGAGAAAGAGAGAGTGAGCACAAGCAGAGGGACAGGAAGAAGCAGACTCCCCACTGAGCAGGGAGCCCGATGCGGGGCTCGATCCCAGGACCCTGGGATCATGACCTGAGCTGAAGGCAGACGCTTAACCAACTGAGTCACACCAGTGTCCCTCAACAATTAATTGTTGAGTGCCAACAATATACCAGGCACTGTCCTGGACACTGGAACTGTAGTAGCAAACAGACTAGACACTATCCCTGCCCTTGGGGAGCTTTCCATCTAGGCAGAGGGACAGAAAAATAAAAGCTACTTGTGATGTGGTAAGTACAGTGGTGTGATAAGTACAGTGAAGGACACACAGAGGACAGGGTTCAAACAGTGGGAGGAGTCCAGAGTCACCTGGACTGTTGACAATTTAAACGATCAAAGACTCCAAAGTCTCAGTGTAAAAGTAAATGCCACTGGCTTTATTATAATATCGTATTATAATAAAGGGGAAGGGAGAGACCAGTGAACCTCTTCTAGTTTACCCAAGCATTTATACCTTTTAGAATACAGAGCTGTCGGACGCCTGGGTGGCTCAGTCGTTAAGCATCTGCCTTCGGCTCAGGTCATGATCCCAGGGTCCTGGGATCGAGCCCCACATCGGGCTCCCTGCTCAGCGGGGAGTCTGGTTCTCCCTCTCCCTCTGCTGCTCCCCCTGCTTGTGCGCTCTCTCTCTGACAAATAAATAAATAAATAAATAAATAAATAAATAAATAAATAAAAATCTTAAAAAAAAAAAAAAAAAAGAATACAGAGCTGTCAGTTAATAAATTATTACCTGGGCAACAGTTACCAGTTAAGACTACCACACAGAATCGTAGCCTCTGGGCACAATAACAGTATCTGAAGTCTAAGAGTATTCCAACATTCCTTTGTGTAAACAGCATTCATCGACAAAAGCTTTTTGGAACTTTTCTTAATTTGTTTTATTTATTTATTTATTTAAATCCAATTGGCCAACATATAGTACATCATCAGTTTTTGATATAATGTTCAGTGATTCATTAGTTGTGTATAACAGCCAGTGCTCATCACATCACACGCCCTCCTTAATGCCAAAAATAATAGGATTATACATATCCATGCAACTCACCTCACTGAACAGGAGATGGGATAGATAAATTTGTTAATGTTTTTAGCTATCCACTTTATCAGCTGTACTTTTATGATCATACACTAACTGTACTTTTGCAGTTGTGGGGAGAAAGGACAAACCCTTTTCTTTTTATCTTACTTTTATATATATATATTTTTTACCAGAACATAAGAACACCTATAGTTTGAGTCAAGTGCTAGGATTCCGGTATTTAGCACCAACAGGAAAACACAAACCTAAAAAAGCTCAAAACAAACATGTATAGAAAAAGGCATGCAGTGTTTTGTGAGTAGGGGTATAACATAAGATTTGAAAGCTAAAATGTGGAGTGTTAGCTAAGGGAAGGTGAGGTGAGAGATGCCCCTTTCCTGGCAAAGGGGAAAGACGGGTGAAGGCCCAAGGGCACTGGAGGGGGTTGGAGGCTCAGGGCTGGGAGTCCCACGGGCTGCAGGGGGAGAGCCAAAGGGGAGGTGAAGCTGCAGCTGGCCTTGCAGACCAAGTGAGGGGCTCTGGGGTCTGCTTTAAGTGCAGTGGAAAGCCTCTGAAATGTTTTAGCAGGGAACAACACAATCAGATCTGCATCATTAATAGTTTCTAGAACCTTACTTTCATCAGCAGCAGACAATAGTTTTCCTCAAAGAGGACCTCAATAAATTGTTCTCCCTACGCGGCTCATTGCACAGTAGACACTATAAATCTGAAATAAGCAACAACACAGAATTGTTACCCATGTGTGTTGGCATAAGCTGAATTCAAGGACCCAAAACATTTGAACAGGAAGTTTTTTACCCTCTTTTTATTCCTTAAGTAAAACATTGCCCCACAGGTGTTCCCACCCATTCCCACAAGCAAAAGGCTTATTCCTATTGTATGATATCAGAAAAGGGGCCTTAACTGTTTCGCCTCAGTTTACTGTCTTGAAATGGAGAACAAAGTGTCCCCAGAACTCATAGCCCCTGTCATCCCACTAGAGTATTAGTGTCAAGGACATTGGGCTCCCGGTAAAGTCAAAGAGGCGTCAGCCCACTTCCTGCCCAGAGCAGTGTTTCAGCCTAAGATCCAACCTTTGGCCTCACTCAGTTCCTTCTGGCCCTTCTAGGGACGCGAAAGCTGCGGTGGTGACTGGCATGGAGCTGAAGGACATGAGCCCGGAACAGCTGGATGAGCTTTTAACCAACTACCCAGAGATCGTCTTTGCCTGGACATCCCCCCAGCAGAAGCTGATCATCGTGGAGGGCTGTCAAATGCAGGTGGGTGGACAGCAGCACCCAGAGAAACTGTCACTGTCCTGGGGAAATGCAGGGCTGAGATCTGGATCCCAGATCAGGCCTATGACACTTTCTAAACCTCTTCAGAGACAATTCTTTGCCCGTCTTCATCACTTTACATTTCTACCCTCTCAGGGGGCTGACCCCCCACCCTCCTTTGAGATCATCCTGCATGCAGGGCTTTCTGACAATGAAACATTTGGTCCTGTGGTAGGTGTGCATATAGAAAGTTTTGAAAATGTAAGATATAGAAGAAAAAATGTAAAGACACAAGATATAAAAGATCCACTTTAGCCTGCCACACACAATGGTTTTAATTACGGAACGCATCTTGTTTGGAGTTTGCTGTTCTTGCTTCTGGGATTTCCCGGCTTTATCTTTTCCCCAAAACAGACCGTTCATTTCAGCTCCAGTTGGCCCACATCCTCCAGGGGAAAGGGAGACTATGTTGATTTTGTCCTACCTGTGACCCCTTAGATCTGCTGACTCCCATTTTCTCATGTGTCCCCATAGAATGCAGTTGTCGCCGTGACAGGGGATGGCGTTAACGACTCTCCAGCTCTAAAGAAGGCAGATATTGGGATTGCCATGGGGATAACAGGTTCTGATGCAGCCAAAAATGCAGCTGACATGATCTTGCTGGATGACACCTTTGCATCTATAGTCACAGGGGTGGAGGAAGGTGAGTGAGGTCTCAAGTGGCCTTATCAAGACAGCGGTCACCTGGGGGATCAAAAGCAAGTCCTATGAGAGCAACATCTTTGCCTAGGTCGCCTGATCTTCGACAACCTAAAGAAGACTATTGCTTACACCCTGACCAAGAACATTGCTGAGCTGTGCCCCTTTCTGATCTACACCACTGTTGGGCTTCCCCTGCCCATTGGCACCATTACTATCTTGTTCATCGACTTGGGCACAGACATAGTAAGTAGCACTAAAGGGAACAGGATCTGATAACTGCCCCAAGTGATGGCAACTTCAGGGACATTACCTGCAAGGGCAAGGAGATGGACTAAATCAGTGCTCCTTAAACTTCGATGTGATGGGGCCGGAAGGTCTACATTTCTAACATGCTCTTAAGTGATGCCAATTCTGCTGGTCCACCAGCCGCACTTCAAAGCAAAGGACTAAAGAGATCTGTCAAATGTTTGGAAGTTAAAACCACTTCACTTCCTAGAAGAGCTTTTCAAGACATGAGCTCTTTACCCTCCCCCCAAAATAGGCCATTGGTCAGTTTCAGCTCACATGCCTCCCTTCCCTCTTGAGAAGATAGAGCTATCACTAAATAGCCCGTGTAACACCGGGGCCCAGTGGCCAATGTGATAACCCACAACTGCTCCTTGTCAAGTAAAAGAATCTGTGATCTAGAAGCCCCTCACCTGCACTCAGTTAGAAGTAGCAGGTATTAACACACGATCAGGCCTCATATTGACCTACAATAATGTCACTAAACCCTCCCCTCTTCTGGTATGTGTCCATTTAAGAAATTATCATGACAGTTACCCATATGGCTCCAGCTTACACAGGCAAAGGGGGAAAGAGGCGGGCGCCTGGGTGGCTCAGTCGTTAAGCGTCTGCCTTCGGCTCAGGTCATGATCCCAGGGTCCTGGGATCGAGTCCCACATCGGGCTCCCTGCTCGGCGGGAAGCCTGCTTCTCCCTCTCCCACTCCCCCTGCTTGTGTTCCTGCTCTCGCTATCTCTCTCTGTCAAATAAATAAATAAAAATCTTTAAAAAAAAAAAAGTAATCCTTAAAAAAAAAAGGGGGGGGGAAGGCAATGGAGCGAGCTGAATTCACAATGAGAATGCAGCAAATGGCGCCTCCTACCCTCTTGTTTGGTAAAATACCCAGGCAGTCAACACATTGCAGAGAGACTAAAGATATCTTTGCCTTAGAGGGGAACCGGGGTCCTCATGCTTTACAGTCAGATCATTTTCCAGGCTCTTTCAATTCACTTCTTTTTCTCCACTGCAGTGCTTCTTGCATCACCTGGGAACTTGTTAGAAACGCAGATGCTCTGGCCCCAGCTCAGACCTTGGGAGAGACTGGAGGTGGGAGGTGGGGCCCAGCGATCTGACCTTTAACAGGTCTTCCAGGTGGGAGGACCTGTGAGAGAACCGCTGTGATCCAGTGGCATGCCTAAGGAGGAGAGGATGGTAGGGAAAATCTGCCCCAGAGGAGAAAAGTTTTTAGAGCTAGTTTAGAACTGCCAGCACATGGTGATAAAAAAGCAGACTGATTTTTAAAGCCAGCCGTTTTTAAATTCTCTAGAAACCATGAACCCCCATTGCCTACACCCTGGACAGACCGGTTCCATAACCGTACCACCCCCGCAGTCTGCCAGCCCCCCGCCCACCCTGAGGCCCCCGGCTATGCCACTGCCATTATCACTCTCTTGGTACAGCAGTTTTGGGGGGCTAGGCCTCACGGACTGTCTCCCCCTCTAGATCCCCTCCATCGCCTTGGCTTATGAGAAAGCTGAAAGTGACATCATGAACAGGAAGCCTCGCCACAAGAAGAAGGACAGACTGGTGAACGAGCAACTTGCCATGTACTCTTACCTGCACATTGGTATGACGGAGGCATCGCTGACCTGTCAGACAGGGACCACCCGAGAATTCATTCCAGTCAGAAACTGGTTTTCCTTGTGGGGCAGGCTTGCAATGGGAGGAGGAACCGAAAGGAAAGTGAGCACAGGCGCAATTCCGAAGTCATTTATAGAACCTCTGCCCTTATTTCTTTTGTGCTTTTAGGCCTCATGCAAGCCGTGGGAGCTTTCGTGGTGTATTTCACTGTGTATGCGCAGGAGGGCTTCAAACCCAGCGCGCTCATTAACGTCCGGGTGGAATGGGAAAATAGCGATGTGGATGGCTTGGAAGACAGCTATGGACAACAGTGGGTAAGGGCAGGAGGCTCTGCCTTCAAAGTCCTGCAACGTCCTGCTTCTCCCCTCCTCTCACTGTCTTGCCCAGACTGATGCAGAACTTCCATTTCCCTGGACAGCCTTAATGAGACAGAGAAGGTGAAAGTTTTCTCAGTTAATAGGGCCTGTGGGCCCCTCTGTTACATTGGTTTGGCCTTTGCCAGGACTCGGCCTCCTCTCTCGAATTAGATACCTTGAGCTCGCTTTCTTACATTGGCTTTGCAATTGATATGGAAGAGTAGCCAGTCCCACAATACCCATGGTGGGGCCAAATCAATTAAGTTAGCATCTTTCCCTACTCAACCGAGTAAAGAAAAAAAAGGTTCTTTCCAAACACAAGGAGGTGATCCTCCGTCAATCTTGGTGAGGTGGGGAGAGAGTAAAACTTTACAGAACTACGTTGATATCGTCCTGAACTTTTCCCTCTGGGGTTTCATGGTCTCCTTTTTGTCTGTTGACAGACATGGTACCAGAGGAAATACTTAGAATGGATGGGCTATACGGCTTTCTTTGTTGGCATCATGGTCCAGCAAACAGCAGATCTAATCATCAGGAAAACCAGGAGGAACTCCATCTTCCAGCAGGGTCTCTTCAGGTACTGCCCACATCCAACCTCATAGTTCAACCCTGGGCCTTTGATGCAGGAATGCTGAGGGTTAGGCCTATAATACATGAGGCCTTGACTCCACTGGGTGTGTGGGCCTGTCGCCATGTGAATTCAGAATCTGTTTGCTTTTATGTGTCTTGCAGAAGTAAAAGTCATCTGGGTGGGGATTGCCTCACAGATTATCATTGCATTAATCCTCTCCTATGGGCTTGGAAGTGTCACAGCCCTGAGTTTCACAATGCTCCGGTGAGTTCCTCTTCAACAGTGGACAGGAAAGAGCCAGCCGTGTTCTGAGCTGTCACAGGCTAAGTAAACATTTAGAATTCCAGTGGGTTATTTCCCCTCCAGGCTTTCAAATGAGACAAAACCAAATCAATTCTATCTTAGTCTATCTTAGATTTTGACCTGCTAGTTTTCCCAGAAGAGGAAATGGGTTTTCTAAACTTCACCATCCCATCTCCACCTTCAGCCAATAGGCCACATCAAAGGCAGATATTGCTTCTACCAGTCGCAGTCCAGTTTAAATAAGAAGCTTTCCAGTTTTATGTTGTATGACCCAATGGATGTGTTGTTCTTTCCAGTAGGGCAGAGAAAATGACCAAGAAGCTCTCTGTCCATTGGCAGGGGGCTTGGCCCTTTCTTTGGATGCATTCCGACTTACCTTCCTCCCTTCTGCTTCCAGGCCTCAGTATTGGTTTGTGGCTGTGCCATTTGCCATTCTGATTTGGGTGTATGATGAGGTGCGGAAACTTTTCATTAGACTCTACCCTGGAAGTAAGTAGTAATGTGATTTTTGAGACTCTGTTTATCTACTTCAACACACTACTGATTTCTCAGTAACTTTTTTCTACCTCCACAGGCTGGTGGGATAAGAACATGTATTATTAAGCCCACCTGACTTCCCAAGCCTCCCAGTTGCACACTGGGGATGTTCTTCATCTTCTGGCTGCATCTGGGAGACTGCTGCAGTAGGGACTTACCAAAATGCAGAAAGAGAAGGCAGAAAAGAGTATGAAAGATACCCACTGAGGTTTTGTACTTTCAAGCAGATATTCAACTGTTTATATACGATTTGCTTCTCTATATCCATCTCCTTGTTCAAAAATATGTGAATTTCAAGGGAAGAATGACATGTTTATATGTATATAAAGTTCACTCACGTTAAGTAGTCTTGGGTAATCCGGCCACCTGCTCAGATCTTCCTGCTAGATAAGATTGCTCAAACCTCCATTCCATACCCTATTAAAAGTCCAGTGACCTTCCTAGATTCTGTGAATTCCCAGAGAGCTTATAATTTCATAGTCACCTTGCTTAAAAAGGGTTAATTCAGCTGAAGGTTTGCAAGAGGTAGAAGTGATGGCAGGTTTACATCACAGCAACATGGACAACCTCAGTTTTGACTCTCAGACATCCTTCTTTACGGTCCCCAGTCACCTAGCCGCATCCCTGCTCATCCCATCCCTCACCACCTCACCAGTCCTTTGGCGCCCTCCCTCCTCCCAGCTGGACTCCTCCCTCCCTCCCACGTTGCTCTCCACCCCACCACCAACTCCAAAACTGAGCTCCACGTCCATTTTGCACATCCCAGCTCCAGATGCTCTCCCATCCCAAAGAGGTTTTCATTTACCAGGATTCAGCCTCAATAGAGAAGCACTGGGGTTTAAAACAATAATACTTATTTCATGTAAAACGGTTGCAAAGCACTCTCCGGCACTAATTTTATGCCAGTTATGTTTCAGGCTTTAACTTCGCTTTATTCACATGTGACACATACATCCATGTTGACAGCCCCTAGGAGGCCTCATTTTTAAGTAAAAGATGTTTTATAAAACCCAGTCTAATTGTTGTATTTTAATTAATTTGAGTTTTTCAACATTTTAAAAAATTTTTTTTTAAGATTTTATTTATTTATTTGACAGAGAGAGAGAGAGACACAGCGAGAGAGGGAACACAAGCAGGGGGAGCAGGAGAGGGAGAAGCAGGCCTCCCGCGGAGCAGGGAGCCCGATGTAGGGCTCGATCCCAGGACCCCGGGATCATGACCTGAGCCGAAGGCAGACGCTTAACAACTGAGCCACCAAGGCGCCCCTAATTTGAGTTTTTCTAGAATGCATAGCATAGGGCACAAAAAAATGAGATGTGATTTCAATTTTTTGTTTGTTTGTTTTTTTGCTTCTTTCAGTCATTTTGCTTTTCTATGGAAGGTCTAAAGATATAAGATATAAGATTTACCTTCTGAACTCCCCTCACCAACACCCCTGCTCTGTATCCTGAATCTGATGTGCCTTCATTTTTAAGTCAGTATTTCTGGGGGAGGATACACCTTTCATCAGCAGCTCTGGGGAAAGCAGTTTCACAGCAGTTGACCTGACAGAACCTAAAAATTGCATTTGGTTAAACTTTCCCATTCCCTGGCCTACCCTATCACCTCTCCTCCATTGTGCCTTTAGACAAGGACATTCTGCTGCTGATGGCTCTAGGCTGGTGTCTCTGGAACAGGAAGAGGGAGCCACAGAACCTCAGTTCTGTGGCATTTTCTCAGGGGTCACATTGAGAAGCATGAAAGAGGTCAGGGGCCACCATTGTAACTTTATGTGAATAGATTATGATGTACAATGTGTACTGTATGTGTATATTTAAGTGAACCGTATTGGGTCCTCAAGGTCTTGCATCTTTGTTTTCAACCACAGTTATCACTGGGCTAATCTCACATCAGTAGTAGCAATGAACTGGAAACCCTTTCCAGGCAGCAACATCATGGCCTTCTCATTCCAGTCTTGACAAGGCAGCTAATGCTTTCTAAACTTCAACTAAGAATAATTTGTCCTCACTCTGTTTCCTGCCAGGCTGTCTGAGCACTCCTGGCTGTAATGGTTGGTAGCTCTTGGTCCTGCCAGAGCCAGCCAGGAAAGGCTATAAATCTAACACAAACCTCTAAGGGACTTAACTTGAGGTTGAAAGGAGTAACATTTGAAATAGAAGTCTCCTCACAGAAGGAGTCCTGTCTGGAATAACTCTCATATTGTACATACCTACTCTTATAAAAGTTGACACTCAAATATTGTAAAATGAACATATAACTAATTTAAGAAATCCCAGAAATGAGACTCACATATCAAGTAGCTTTATGAAATTGTAGACAGAATAAGGCAATAAAGTGCCATATCAGAGAAATGTTTTTTTGGAGGGACTACTTCATTGACCTGCTAAGGAAGGTCTAGATACGTTTTAGAAACAATAATAAAGTTGACTTTAATTGGTGTGGCACAGTAACCCAGGGATATGAGGATGAGGCTGGATTTACTGAGTCTTTATTTTTGTATTTCTGGGTTTTTTTAAAGATTTATTTACTTGAGAGAGAGAGAGAGAGCATGAGCAGCGGGAGAGGGAGAAGTAGGCTCCCCCATGAGCAGGGAGCCCAGTGCGGGGCTCGATCCCAGGATCCCGGGATCATGACCAGGGCCGAAGCCAGATGCTTAACCAACTGAGCCACCCAGGTGCCCCAAGTCTTTATTTTTTTAAATAATCTATGTTTGGAGCATTTTTAAGCCTCTTGATACACATTACCAAGTTTATTTTCAGATAAGCTGTATCAATTTACATTCCTGCTAGCAATAATAAAGTGAGTACTTATTTTGCCTGTCATAAAAGATATGAAGGATCGGTCAACTATAAGAGATTTTTATTCATTCAGCGAAGATGTATGGAGTATCTGTCACGCAGTCTGATCATACAGCAGAGAACGAGACAGAAATATGGAGCTGATACTCCAATGGAGGGGCAGGAAAAAATATAAATGGCAAAAAGGCTTTAAAAGACATAATGAGGCTTAGATAGTAAGCTGTAGGTTGGGGAGGTATGGTGAGCCTACTTTAAATAGGTGGTCAGGAAAATCCTTTCTGAGGAGGTGAGTGAGAAGAAGCAGTCATTGTCACCAGCAGAGAGAAGAAAATTCCAGAAGAGGGGGCACAGTGAGGTGTGAAGGGACAGGGACAGCAACAGGAAGACTGGTTCATCAGGCAGTTGGAGAAGTAGGCAAGAATCATATTGGGTCTCATAGTCCCTGTGAAAGAGGTTGAATTTCATTACAAATACAGAGTCGCACTATTGGAGATTATTAATAAAGGCAGTGACTTGCTCCAGTTTACATGTTATGATCACTTTGACTTCTGCATAGAGGACAGGAAGAGGGGGGCCAGGGAAGAATGGATGCAAGAAGATGAGTTAGGCAAGGAAAGCTATGATTTAGACTAGGCAGGTAGTGACCGGTACGAGAACACCTGAATGTGAAGCACCTGGCCCCTGTGAGTGTGTGTGTACCTTTAAGTAGATAAACAGACTTCCATGGAAGAATTTTGTAAGGGACGTTACCTGTAGATGCTCCAAATCAGGCCACTAGAAAGGCCACCAATTTCCCTGGCTGACTCCATGATTATCAAGATGGGGGAAAGGAGAGATTGAGGCAAGGATCGCCCTCCCAGGAGACTGAAGCAGAACAAGATACACATTTAAATGCACATACGCTAGTTGCTCCTGACTCTACCTTTATAAAGAGTATAAGGTCTCCACATTCACTCATTCTGCCATCACCACTCTACTTGTGGAGTTTAATGTCACTTAACAGGACAGTAACAACCGCTGAAATTTATTAAATACCTATTACGTCTGGGCACTGTGATATCTTCCTAAAGGCATTATCTTATTAATGGTCACGACGACCAGACCAGTGAATAGTGCCAACTTCACATTACAAATAAGGCAACGGAGACTCAGGTTAAGTGACTTGCCCAGCACTGTGGATTTCTTCTGTTCTGCTAAGTAGCTCAATTTTAGAATCTGTGAAGTGATGGAGGGAGAATTTGTGCTTCCATGGAAAACACCCTTCAGGTGTTATCCAAAGTTATCAAGAACTGACAGCAATTCAAAATATTCCTTGTCTATAGATACGTAAATGAATCCCATCCCATGAGGGACAGTCCTGCTTCCTCTGGAAAAGCCAGGTTTACTCCTTTTGCATAATCTTCTGACATTCTTTGACTACAAATAAACATGTGTTTTTTTGTCCTTTGAAACAGTTCTAAAAACCAGTCCTAAGTCCCCTCATCTAAATAATGGGCCAATAAAATCTTTAACCCTTGTTCATTCTATAGTTGTGGAAGAGCCATGATTTTACCTTTTCTTTGAAAAATACTCTTTCACAATGAAAAGAGAGGAAGAAAGCCGTCATTCACTCCTCTCAGGGGCTTGTAGCCTTGGTGCAGTTCACATCTACCAACTGCAGGTGGGCTAATCTCACTCAGCCAGCTACCCAAACAAGCTCCAGGGCCTGTCTTCCATTTTCCACTTCGCTTCATTGATGCTGTTTTTTCTGCTTCAGACCAGATCTCTGGGCAGGCTCCTTCCTCCAGTCTGACATACCAGAACCAACTCAGGATTTTATCTTCTTGGTCTAGAGGCTCTAAGATAAAGTTCAATGGAAATTTAAGACAAAAGCCTGATTCATTTTAAAGGGATAGAAGCTCCCCTCTACAGAGTTGTTATAGAGAGAAGTTGAGATACTGTGGAGAAAAGCACTCTGTAAGCCTGAAAGTATGAGAAGTTATTAGAGGGTCTTGTTTTTCCTTTTTTGCATTTCATAGTTATAACATGGAATTTCTCCCTCTTGCTTTCATTTTTCAACAAAATCAAGCACCTGCTAGGTAGAGAGCGGCAGGCTAAACAAGGTGAGGAAACTAGGATTGATCAGTGTGGTGCTAGCCTCAGAGGAGCGAATAATACACCAGGAAGGGCATGTTCGTATATAAGCTGTGGCTCGAGGGCAGGGTTTGGCGCGGGCAGCAGAAGCACAGTGTTGTAAGTATTCAGGAGACCGCCCTCAGCAGGCCCACTGAGTCAGGAGGTGGGATTTCAATGGCAGAGATGAGGGAAAGCACCACAGCAAGGGAAAGGAAGGGGCAGGGGCAAGTGATGTGTCCCAGTGGGTCACAATGTGTCCCGGAAGCCAGCTCCCTTGAAGGTAGGTACATCCCGGCACCAGAATGCCCACACCTTGCCCAGGACATGCCTACTGCCCAACTGGTAAGCCCAGGAGCCCTCAAGTCCCCATGCCTCCCGGGCCCTCATCTTTCTCCCCAACATCCCCATCTTTCATTCGTTTGTTCATTCATTCATTCATTCTTTCATCCATCATTCATTCATCATTCAAACTCCTTAGAGAGCCTACTGCATGCCAGGCACTATATTCACCCTAAGAATGCCAATGACAAAGACCACCTGCAGAGATTCCATCCTTCTCTCATCCCTACCCCAAGCCCATCCCACCCCACTCTGTTGCTTTTCTTTTCTTCAGCTGTTGACTCATGCGTGATCAATGTCCTGCCCCTTCCTTACACTCAGCCTGGGGGTCCAGGGTGAGCACCTGGACCAGGATGATGGCAAACAGGTGTCATCCCCTGTGCCAGTCTTGGTCAACAATCTGGGAACAGCTTCCTGAACACCACATGGAGAAGGGCTCCGCAGTGGTGGTGGGGCGCTGGAAGTGGAACCCAAAGATCAGAATGCGGTGCCCCAGCGACCACAAGTTTGCTCTCCTCGAGTCTGAGTCCAGTCGTCCTGAACACACCGTGCATGAGCCCAGCCTCACACCAACTCGTGTGTGCACGTGTGAATACACACACACATGCACAGGTGTACTCACAGTACACACACACAAACTCACTCGTGTGCACTCACGTCCAGATGCACAAACATGCACACACACAAATGCTCGCACATACATGCCTGTGCGGTCCCCAGGCAGCCAGGCAAACAAATAGGAATCCACAAA